TACACTCCCAACGGGAGAATTCACACTCCTAAAGAGGATAAAAAAAACGCTGACGTGCACTAATAACACTAACAAATACACAACACAACAAACCTAAAAACAAAGCAAGTTTATCTTGGAATGATATATCTGCAAATGAAAAATGTTTCCTCACAAAGAAAAAAGAAAATTTAATTTAAAGTATAATACGAGTAATTTGCATCGGATATTGCAAATTTTGATTAATTAATACCTCCGATCAAGTTCATATTTTCTAATCCAACTTCACGACCGTTCAAGATGCCTAGCAAACGCTCCCTTTTTCCTGATCAAGTAGTATCATATCAAATAATTGCAACAAAACTACTCAACTAAAGGACACAATTTGCAATGTATAAACAAATATCAAGGGATCATCTTGTAATTTGGAAGACGAGGAGAAACATAGCCAAATTGTATGGTTCGTCTCTAAAAGGCTTCTATCCTCAACCGCATCTATCAATTTTCCACTCAAATTTTCCTTCATCTATTTTTTTTTTCAAAAAAAAAAAAAAGGCAATCTTTAGGCTAAATTGTAAAATATAGCCAGCATCTTGTACGCGGTGGCAATAATAGCCACCAGCTTTACGAATTGGCAATATTAGCCAACAACTTTCAAAATATCGAGATTATTACCTAAATCCAACCAAATTCGACAAATAAATTGCAAAATATAGCCAGTATTTTTTTACGCGCAGCGACAACAATAGCAATCGAATTTGGTAGGACATGGGTAATAACCCCAAAATTTTAAAAGTTGTTGGCTAATATTGCTAATTCGTAAGGATGGTGGCTAATATTGCCACCGCGTACAAAATACTGACTATATTTTGCAATTAAACCTTTTCAATCTTTATTAGCTCCAAAACATTACAAACTTCCAATTTCGAAGGAACCATCAAATGAGCTCACCAACGAGACGAGAGCATAATAAGATTCAGAGTCAAAGTGTAAGTACTTCCACAGTTCCACTGTCGCAATTTACTTCGACGCCCTTAATATTTGTAGCTTGGCCTCCATATTTGAACATCTGCCGATCCCAATGAGTAATGGTTTCTTGAACAGAAAATTTAGACAAGTCATTTTTTGTAATTTCCCGCGAAATATATATGATTATACGGGAAACCGGAACTTACAATTGGGTTGATATCTTTTTCCAGATAATCCGTAAACTAATGTGTAGCCCGTGTTATGTACGGGTAAATAATATTAACAATAATTATAAATTAAATATGAGGATAAATAATATTAACTATAATTATAAATTAAAGATGTGAGCAATGTTTTAAATACCGGCCGGTACGGATACCGGTGGTCCGACCGGTACGATTACATTCAAAATATCGTTTTGGCCAAAATATTGGTTTATACCGGTTTCATATCGCAAAATATCGGTTTTACCGGCAAATACCGGCCAAAATACCGATTTATGCCAATTATTTTTAAAAAAATATATTTTTTAATATATTTTCATTAATCTATTTATATAAATTGAAAGTTCTACACTTAATTTCAATTTGTTTACATTGTTATTAGATGTTGATTAATTTTAGTATTAATTAAAGTTAGTTTTGTACATTATTTATATTATAATTACAAATTAAATTAATATTTATTGAAACCGGTATAATAAACGGTGAAACCGGGCCGGTGAACAGCGTACCGTTGGCTCGTCCAGTAAAATTACCGGTACGGTATTTAAAACACTGGATGTGAGGTTACATGTGATAAAATAGTCTATTGTAACAATATAAAATTATCTTGTATAAAAGAACGTAAAAAATGTGTGTTTAAAATATTAAATGTGAGAGAAGATTTACATATTATATATAAAATAATTATTGAGATGATACCGTAAATTATTACATAATCTTTGTGTGAAAATTTGAGTATAAAATAACCGGAGGCTTAACAATTCCACAATTTATGCATACGCTTCATTTATCAATTTTATATAATGATTTTAAAATTTCGTTATTAAGATTTTTATTTAAACTTATAAAATATGCAGAGGCTTAACAATTCCATGTTTTATGCATACGCTTCATTTATCAATTTTATATAATGATTTTAAAATCTCGTTATTAAGATTTTTAGTCAAACACACATCAACAAAGTCTACATTCTTAGGATTTATGATGAAATATGAATAAATGATTTTCTTATAAAAGAAATCCGTATTTATTTGTTTTTGAAAATCAATGCAAACTCATATAGAGTTTTTGTTCTTAACAAACTCCTACCATTCTAATTAAATTATATTATTCCAGTTTGAACTTTATTATGATTTTAAAATCCGTACACGTGATCATAATCTATATCAAGTAAACAATCCCCATATTTTTAGAAATCATTATTTATCTGTTTTTTAAAATTAATGCAAACTGCTTTAATCACTTTTTAATATCAATTAATTAAATAAAAAGAATGAGGCAAATTCGTATCAAATTTTAAATTCTCGTGCTATATTACGAAAAAAGTTTTTCAATATCAAATTAATTAAATGAAGTTCTTTTTTAATAAAATTCAAGTTTATTAATAAAATTCATTTAAGTTTCTTTTTTTTACTAAAAAGAATTATGCAAGCTCGTACCAATTTCCAATTCTCCACAATTTGAATAAGGACTCCTTAACTTTTGAATAATGCTAAATTTCGTGTCTATTATTATGTTTGCAGGCAAATTTGTATGAAAGTTACTAAAAAATTGTTAACATTTGAATTTGAATTAAAGATTTGTATGAAAATTATAAGGAAATTGTTAACAATTGAATTTGAATGAAAGATTTTTTTTTCCCCTGTTTTCCCTATAAGTTTGTTAAGGAAAGCAACCATATTTTATTTAAACTTCTATCCCTTCCTTAGTTAGAAATTTCGAAATTTGTTTTGTTTGCTATATTTAGTAAATAGTTATTCTTTTTATATGCAGTTTGAACTTCATTATGATTTTAAAATCCGTACACGTGGTCATAATCTATATCAAGTAAACAATCCCCATATTTTTAAAAATCAGTTTTTATCTGTTTTTGAAAATCAATGCAAACTGCTTTAATCACTTTTAATATCAAATTAATTAAAAAAAAAGAATGTGGCAAATTCTTACCAAATTAAATTCTCGTGTTATATTACGACTAAAGTTTTTCAATATCAAATTAATTAAATGAAGTTCTTTTTTATAAAATTCATTTAAGTTTTTTTTATTTAAACTCTTACCAATTTTCAGTTCTCCACAATTTGAATAAGGACTCCTTAACTTTTGAATAATGCTATATTTCGTGTCTATCATTATGCTTGCGGGCAAATTTGTATGAAAGTTATTAAAAAATTGTTAACATTTGAATTTGAATTAAAGGTTTGTATGAAAATTATTAGGAAATTATTAACAATTGAACTTGAATTAAAGATTTTTTTTGTATTTTCCTTATAAGTTTGTTAAGGAAAGGAACCATATTTTTTTAAACTTCTATCCCTTCCTTATTTAAAAATTTTGAAATTTGTTTTGCTTACTATATTTAGTAAATAGTTATTCTTCGGGGTGTTAAGTATATATAGTTGAGGAAGAAAATAGTCTCCAAAGAAAAGGAAGCCTCCACCTTGCCAACTCAATCAGTGGCCCACGATATTTTTGGTCAAGCCCAAGGGCCGTAGCTGGTTTAAGATACTCGAGTTACCGAGCCCAAGCCCAAGAACTCTATCAGTGAAAGGCATCTAGAGTTGTATCCATAACTTCTTGATTGTAGCCACATCTACAAATGACATAACGAGAAAAATAAAAGGTACACTATTCAGTGGTTTATATTTGGATAAAAATAAGTGAAGTCAAATACGTACTGCAAGATGTATTATATCAAATGGTTGATGAGTTCTTTTCAACGGCAAGGTACCCAGGTTCAAATCCTATTCCTTGTAATTTTTTTGCAATTATGCCACACAAGCGGTCACGTAGCTTTACAATTCAGCAAAAAAAGAAAAGAAAAAAAAATCAGATGAAATTTTCACGTAGCCATCCAATAACTCTGACCAGTTATAGACGGTCAGGAGACCAAAAATATAATATTTTTTTATCTAGAGGACCATTTTAAAAAATAGACATTTACTAGGACCAAAAACGAAAAGAAAGTCATTTAAGGGACTAAAAAATCTTTTTTGCCTATATTTTTTGGACTAGCAGATCTAGTACTATGCCCTTATGAATCTTTTGACTTAGGTGCATATATTAAGAAAACTGAAACTCCAAAATATTGTTAATTGATAGCGGATAACTTGTTAAAATTAGTAGTTTTAATTAGATGATGAATTAGCTAATTTAGTTACTTGATATCAAATAGCTAATTGAGTCAGCGTTTTTGCCCAGTTGATTCAGTTACATGATAGCGAATAGTTTATTGAATTAGTAGTCTTGACTAGATGATTGAATTAGCAAATTTGATTAATGATTGAATGAGTTGATGACTGAATTAGTAGTTTTGGCTAGCTGATAGAGTATAATTAACCGTTTGATAAATAATTAGTTGTTGAATACCTAAAAATAAATATAATTGGAGTTAATTGAATAAGCCCCTTCATGCATTAAGACAAGTTAAATGTAAAAACTAGAGGGAAAGCCAACATATTATATGGACTAGCAGATCAAGTCTAGCTATGCCCATATTATGAATCTTTTGACTTTAGGTGCATACAACAAGACAAAGAAAAACTCCAAAATATTGTAATACATGAA